GAAGTGTCTGGAGAGAGGGAAGTCTGGGCATCTTTGCTTAGACTGCTGCCCCCGCGACCCAGTTCCGGATAAGCGGAGGAAAATGAATGGATGGATGGATGGATATTAATATCCATGTTCATAAGTGTAGTCATTTCAATACAAGTATAAGCTTGGACTCCTTATCTTATATTAAATTTGTAGGAAATGTTCCATCCCTAAACAACAAGAAGTGATGTTATCTATTGCAAAAAAAACCTTTCACATTTGGACAAATTGGGATGATCAGCAGTCAATGCTGAGTGTAAGTATTATTGTGTGTGTCTGACTGCAGTGTTAATAAAAATTAACTGTGTGTTTAACAGCGCCTCGTTTCAACTCATCCTTTCTAACCTTTGCTGTACAGGTTGTTCCTGGCTCGAACCATATCCGGATCATCAGGCCCTAATCCCAGGATCCTTAATGAGGTGTAATTCAGTGCTGTGCCAAAGACAGTCGATTTATCTTCTATATGTCTGCAGGAAGACAAAACAAACCCCAATTATTCTGCCATAATCTATATCAGTCTGACACTGTGTAGTTTTAGACTTTCACCTGTAGTTATTTTGTAGCAGTGAGGACATACAGTATGGACACTAGACCTCCTGTGATTACTATACCAGCCTTCCTGTGGCAATTCTGTAACAGTTACACACTGTGTAGATGCTTTTGTCAAAAGATTTAGTTTCACTATAAACACTGATACTGTAAAAAAAAAAAAAAAAAAAAGAGCGTGCTGTTGACTTACAGACCCCAGCCTCCATCCGGCAGCTGAACGGAGCGCAGGTACCTCACCATCTCCCTTTTCCAGGCCTCGGCCAGAGGGATCTTGGCCACATGGCATGTGATCAGGAGACCTGGGAAGCACGCACACGCGCGCACACACACACACACACACACACACACATGCGCAGACACAAACACATACACAAATGTAAATGATGGTTAAAGAGATGCATATCAGATAATGAACTGTCTCTCAGGGTCTGTCAACAGATGAAAATAAGAGTAAATAAAGTAAAAATAAGTAAAATTAAGAGCATTTCAGTTTGGATACTGGAAGCTCCATGTGATGACACCATTCTTCTTCAAAATATGCTCTATAGCCTTCAGGAATTTTGTTACCTGCTGTAGTTAAAATAGTGTCTGCCAGAGGCTTTGAAAATACTGCATTACTGGAGAGTGCCAAATTCTACATATACAGACTTAAAAGAACTTAAGTGACAACATGAAAGGGCGTGGGGAGGATGATTTGTCTTACCTGGTAGAAGGAACAGAGGTCCACCGTAATCCCCAGCCCAGTGCCCGTCCTTGGCCTGGAGGTGACTGTAAAAGTGCATACCCTTCAGAGCAGCATCCACAGCTGTGTGGGCAGCTGGGGAGCCAGACACAAACTTTTCCTGTAGATTGAAAAGGGGATTATAAATTAACACTAGACAAATGTTAATTCCAGGACTCTACCATCCACTTTAGTTCTCCATAATAAAAAGAACTATGAGTTATACTGAGCACACTGTTCATGTAACAGGAAAACTGTAGCTCTGCCACTGATTTTGTCTATTAGAAGGAGGGGTTGGTCTGTTCCTAGGTGATAACACAGGTCATAAATCTTTCTCTGTTCACTTTACAGCCCATGGTTAAATGTTTTTGTTCTGTCAAGTTATTTCAACTGTCCAGGTAAGAATTATATGGATTCAAATAATTCCAAACGGCTAGTATTACTGCCCCGTTAGCAGATCAAACATTGACCTGCAGGTGTGAAGCTCATACCACAGCAGCTGTTCAAGTGGGTAATATGGAATCAAGCGTTGTGTGATCATGAAAACTCTGATTCACCTAACTGAACTCCCTCTGTACATTCATGTCCCCTCCATCTCTTGTGGCATCTGACACAAAGGAGGACAGGACTGTTATTAAAAAAAAAAAAAGGAAAAAAGAAACAGAATGAAACACCGACCGTGCCCAAGCCCAGTGAGTGGGCTTCCAGCATGGTCTGCTCTCTGTCTGGGGTGTCCTGATCTTCCACATAGTGCCAGGTCTGCCTGCCCTCAACATTAGTTAGCCTCCAGCGGCTCAGGTCTGTGGCTGGCTCCGTCTTGTGTGGCCCCCCTCGCCTCCGAAGCTGCCTGGCAGACACAGATGGGGTATTAATGATGTAGTTCTTCTGACCTATTCCATATACATTTGGGTACTATAATGTATTTTGCACTAAACACTGGATACTAAAAAGTCTTGCACAATGGCAGTATTTTCCAGCTGGTCAACTGTGTAACCAATAATGTATGTGTAATGTAGAATATGAAGTACTGAATGCAGCCATTACAAAGGCAGTGTTTTCACCGTGTCAAATTGTCAAAGCCTTCATTAAGGTTTCTCAGAAATCAACTATTGAGAGGTGACATACGCAAAAATGGGCATTAACACTTAAAACAATATAGACCTACTTACTTAACGTATTGCCTAATAAAGGTTTGTTAGGGTGATTTTTATTTTTAAGTAGATATGAATAGAATTAGTTAAGGTTTTTATTTTATAACACACATAAATCTATATACTTTAATCTTACAGTTATGTTTATACCATACCATACCAACTTTATTTATAAAGCGCTAAAAACAACCAGAGTGGACCAAAGTGCTGTACATTGCAATAAAACAATATAAATTATAAACCACAAACAACAATATAAAATATAATCAATCAAATGACTAAAATAAACAAAAATATCAAAATGCCAGGGAAAATAAATGAGTTTTTAAAAGAGACTTAAAAACAGACAGGGTAGAGGCTTGTCTAATGGACAGTGGTAAGTCATTCCAGAGTTTAGGACCAGCAACTGCGAAGGCTCGATCGCCTCTAAGCTTACGCTTCGTTCTTGGGACACTCAAGAGAAACTGATTTGCTGACCTCAGAGAGCGTGTGGGTGTATGCCAATGAAGCAAATCAGTTAAGTAGGATGGTGCAGAGCCATGAAGGGATTTAAAAACAAAGAGTAAAATTTTGTAATGGACCCGAAAATGGACAGGTAACCAGTGTAGGGAGGCCAAAACTGGAGAGATATGTTCATATTTCCTTGTACCTGTTAAAAGACGCGCTGCTGCATTTTGGACCATCTGGAGGCGATTGATAGAAGACTCACCGACCCCAAGATACAATGAGTTACAATAGTCCAAACGGGAAGTAATGAAAGCATGAATAAGCGTCTCAAAATGCTGTCTAGAGACAAATGCTTTTACTTTAGCCAACTGTCTGAGGTGAAAGAAACTAGATTTAGTGACAGCTGCAATTTGGCTGTCGAATCTTAAATCTGGATCCATCTTAATACCTAAATTTAAAATATTCTTTTGATTATAATGAGCCAATGAGCCCAAGTCAACAGATGGTGAACCAACAGAATCACCGAATACAATCACCTCAGTCTTATCCTCATTCAGCTTTAAAAAGTTAAAAGCAAGACAAGATTTAATGTCATCCAGACATTCAAGAAGTGTGCTAACGGAAGAGCTCATCTTATTAACCGGTAGGTAAAGCTGGCAATCATCCGCATAAAAATGAAAGGAAACACTGTGATTCCTGAGTATAGTACCAAGTGGGAGAAAATAAAGGGAAAAAAGAAGGGGTCCAAGGACCGAGCCTTGTGGTACCCCATACACAAGGGGCTCAGAGGAAGATACAGCATCTCCGAGTTTCACGCAGAAGGATCTATCCTTAAGATAAGATCGAAACCATTCCAAAGCTATCCCCCGGATACCCACCCAGTGCTCCAAACGAGAAATAAGGATATTGTGGTCCACTGTGTCAAAAGCAGCAGTCAAATCTAAGAGCACTAGGACCACACAATTCCCTGAGTCAGTAGCAAGAAAAATGTCATTTAAGACTTTCACCAAGGCTGACTCAGTACTATGCTGGGTTTTAAACCCTGATTGAAAAGTCTCAAGAATATTGTGCTCATCTAAGAAAGCCAGTAACTGAGCATAAACTATCTTTTCAAGGACTTTGGAGAGAAAGCATGTCGATACCTGAATGGTTTTCATAGCTGAAAATATGCTGAATAAATTAAGTACCAAAAAACGGACCGAAGAAACCAGAATACAGTGGTCCCTCGTTAATCGCGGTAGTTACGTTCTAAAAATAACCCGCAATAGGCGAAATCCGCGAAGTAGTCAGCTTTATTTTTTACAATTATTATAGATGTTTTAAGGCTGTAAAACCCCTCACTACACACTTTATACACTTTTCTCAGACAGGCATTAACATTTTCACACTTTTCTCTCTTGTTTAAACACTCTCAAAGTTCAAACCTTCGTAGAAAAATAATAAATATAAAATATAAATAAATAAAAATACTGTATAAACGTTTTCCTATAAATAATAATGATGGATTTTAGAACTAACGAATTTAATTTCTGTACTGTACAGGAGACACGGCATGCAAAAAGCATGCTAAATTGCACACAAAAAAAAATCATTACATTAAGCTCTAAACAAAATCAGTTTTACTCCATCCGAGAACGAACCAACACATTTGCTTGTGCATAAAACATGTGGCACTGCTGATACATATCCCCGTCATCAGACAAGCAATCAATTATAACATGACCCAAGTACTTAACTTCATTACACACAGTTAAAATGTTACCAGATAACTTAAAAGAAGGGAATGGAAGGGACCTGTCGTCTTTTGTGCGTCATATCATAATAACACTTTTATCAGAATTGTACTTGACATCGTGAAGCTCCCCAAACAGAGAACATACATTCAAGAGCTGCTGGAGACCTGAGCTGAGCTGGGACCAAAGATCACCAGATCATCTGTATACATTAAGTCATTCACTATTATACCACCAACCATACATCCTGTTTTACACATACTTAGCTCCTTAGAGAGACCATTGATATAAAAATTAAACAGGGACAACAGACTACCTTGTCTTACCCCGTTACAGGTCTGAAAGGGTGCAGATATACAATTACCCCATCTGACACACACAGTCTGGTGGGTATAGCAATATGACAAGGATCTCACTATATATTTAGGCACTAGGGCATCACACGATTTCTGGAATAACTTCCTATGATTCACATGATCAAAAGCTTTAGAAGCGTCTAAAAACACGTAAATACGGCAGGACTTTTACTTTTATATTTACTAAATAGTTTTTTCAAAGCAAAAACACACATATCGGTGCCATGATTGGCTTTAAACCCAAATTGATTATAAAACGGTCAAAGCAGTAAATATAACCGAATCACGCAAACGTAATTACAGCCTGTCGCTTTCACATTATTACTTTTGAAGTAACTTCAGCAACATTACGGGTTAAATAAGAAAAAATACTTACGTTCCCTCGCTGGTCATCGGTATAGTTGACAAGGTTTAATCTTTCACTGAAGTTTATGAATGAGATTCTTTATATGATCTCCAAAGCACGCCCATGCGCTCATGGGAGTTGTGGTACTTTATAAAAACAACAGCTTGTTGTTCAATCTACTTCAGACTTGACAGTTCCGTCCGACCATGGTTCCAGATGGAGAGACATGGGCAGAGACTCAGCTGCCCAATGACAAGCCGCCTGGGCGGAAAAATGGGCGGGTATGACCAGGGACCCTCCAATCAGAGAGCCTCTACGATAAACTTTAGACATGTGCTCATAAATTGATTATGATGACCAAACAACTTGGAATAAAAGTGGGCTAAACAGCCAGTTAACAAGAAAACGACGCTTTAATTCAACATTTTGCTGTGAGATAATGACACAATTCAAGAGTACAAACATCTGTTCAAACAAAACTGAAGCCATTCAATATACACAAAGTAATTCAACATGTGTTAAAGAGGGACAAGAAAAGCTTGTGTAGAGATTTTAACACAATGTTAGACTGTACTTTCCTTTTAAAGTTATATATTCTAAATTAATGGTGCACAGTTAAACCAAGAGTAAGAGCCAAGACTTTTGTCTCTACTTGTTCACTATCAAACCATAATAAAAACAAAAAAAATTAGACGCATGGTTTCAATCAGTCAATCGGACCGAAAGATGCCTCAGCTCATTTTGTCACAAGCGCAGTGTGAGCTCAACAAATACACATCACAAGTAGTTTCCCGTTTGAGGCAAAGGGCTTGTTTGTCCTCAGTTTTCACTTCCATAGCTGCAAAGACACCTGTTAAAAGATTCTGTGGCGACAGTCCATCAGTCATCAACAATGCTCAGCAGACTGCTCAGCTTCAGCCTGCAGGTCAGTTCTTCCTCTTGACTTGTCAAAATCTGTTGTTCGAGTTGCTTCAGTCGCTGGGCCATTGATACAGGTGTGGTTTTTGGCCAGTCTTCTTTTTCCGACAAATCATCAGGGTCCTGAAAAGTCAAGACAATAAAAACTATGATTCAGTGATTGCCACTATAATTCTTTTTAGCAGAAGTGCTAATGTGTAAAAAAATCATTACATTAAGCTCTAAACAAAATCAGTTTTACTCCATCCGAGAACGAACCAACACATTTGCTTGTGCATAAAACATGTGGCACTGCTGATACATATCCCCGTCATCAGACAAGCAATCATTTATAACATGACCCAAGTACTTAACTTCACTACACACAGTTAAAATGTTAGCAGATAACTTAAAAGAAGGGAATGGAAGGGACCTGTCGTCTTTTGTGCGTCATATCATAATAACACTTTTATCAGAATTGTACTTGACATCGTGAAGCTCCCCAAACAGAGAACATACATTCAAGAGCTGCTGGAGACCTGAGCTGAGCTGGGACCAAAGATCACCAGATCATCTGTATACATTAAGTCATTCACTATTATACCACCAACCATACATCCTGTTTTACACATACTTAGCTCCTTAGAGAGACCATTGATATAAAAATTAAACAGGGACAACAGACTACCTTGTCTTACCCCGTTACAGGTCTGAAAGGGTGCAGATATACAATTACCCCATCTGACACACACAGTCTGGTGGGTATAGCAATATGACAAGGATCTCACTATATATTTAGGCACTAGGGCATCACACGATTTCTGGAATAACTTCCTATGATTCACATGATCAAAAGCTTTAGAAGCGTCTAAAAACACGTAAATACGGCAGGACTTTTACTTTTATATTTACTAAATAGTTTTTTCAAAGCAAAAACACACATATCGGTGCCATGATTGGCTTTAAACCCAAATTGATTATAAAACGGTCAAAGCAGTAAATATAACCGAATCACGCAAACGTAATTACAGCCTGTCGCTTTCACATTATTACTTTTGAAGTAACTTCAGCAACATTACGGGTTAAATAAGAAAAAATACTTACGTTCCCTCGCTGGTCATCGGTATAGTTGACAAGGTTTAATCTTTCACTGAAGTTTATGAATGAGATTCTTTATATGATCTCCAAAGCACGCCCATGCGCTCATGGGAGTTGTGGTACTTTATAAAAACAACAGCTTGTTGTTCAATCTACTTCAGACTTGACAGTTCCGTCCGACCATGGTTCCAGATGGAGAGACATGGGCAGAGACTCAGCTGCCCAATGACAAGCCGCCTGGGCGGAAAAATGGGCGGGTATGACCAGGGACCCTCCAATCAGAGAGCCTCTACGATAAACTTTAGACATGTGCTCATAAATTGATTATGATGACCAAACAACTTGGAATAAAAGTGGGCTAAACAGCCAGTTAACAAGAAAACGACGCTTTAATTCAACATTTTGCTGTGAGATAATGACACAATTCAAGAGTACAAACATCTGTTCAAACAAAACTGAAGCCATTCAATATACACAAAGTAATTCAACATGTGTTAAAGAGGGACAAGAAAAGCTTGTGTAGAGATTTTAACACAATGTTAGACTGTACTTTCCTTTTAAAGTTATATATTCTAAATTAATGGTGCACAGTTAAACCAAGAGTAAGAGCCAAGACTTTTGTCTCTACTTGTTCACTATCAAACCATAATAAAAACAAAAAAAATTAGACGCATGGTTTCAATCAGTCAATCGGACCGAAAGATGCCTCAGCTCATTTTGTCACAAGCGCAGTGTGAGCTCAACAAATACACATCACAAGTAGTTTCCCGTTTGAGGCAAAGGGCTTGTTTGTCCTCAGTTTTCACTTCCATAGCTGCAAAGACACCTGTTAAAAGATTCTGTGGCGACAGTCCATCAGTCATCAACAATGCTCAGCAGACTGCTCAGCTTCAGCCTGCAGGTCAGTTCTTCCTCTTGACTTGTCAAAATCTGTTGTTCGAGTTGCTTCAGTCGCTGGGCCATTGATACAGGTGTGGTTTTTGGCCAGTCTTCTTTTTCCGACAAATCATCAGGGTCCTGAAAAGTCAAGACAATAAAAACTATGATTCAGTGATTGCCACTATAATTCTTTTTAGCAGAAGTGCTAATGTGTGCACAACTGCAAACATACACAGGCCTGTATCTGTTGCAGGAGTAATTTCAAACACCTTCTTAGTAATGTCATAGACAGGTTTACTGATGGTCACCTTATCATGTGTGTGTGTTCCCTTAACAGGAGCTTGTGACACTTGATGGCCTCTGGGCTCTAGTATTTACATGTAAAAGCTAAAGAATGAGATGCCTTTTGATCCAAAGCACAGCCCGACAACTGGCATAACAACACAACATGATGAGTGGCAGGGGTGTCTCAATTTAACAGTACTATACAAGCCAAATAGCAGTGATGTCGATTTGATGCTGTTTCATCCCTCTTTCATTTGACAGGTCACCATTTCCATTAAGATGTCATATCTTTTCACTGAACTGTGATTCACTCTGTCCCATGGAAACACCTCCTGCTGTGTTTAAGTCTGCCTGGTAGTTTCAGCCCCAGCGTTAGTTAATAGGTGTAACATCTGCCTAATCGCTATTTCAGAATTTAAATGGTAGGTAAATGGAGTTGATGTGTGTTTAGCTTCCACTACAGTCCTGAATATGGGGCACCCACCTCAGTCAGTGACTGGGTGCAGTGTACAACACAAGTTGCTGTGGTTACGTTTCATTGTGAATATTAACGATCCGTGCACTGCCACTATTTGTACCAGTAACATTTAGAGAATACTCAAATTGAATCTCTTGTCGTTTCCAGCCACACGTGCTTTAATGTAGAAAACCAAACACAAACTAGTTAAGTGTAAAACTTAGCAGTTTCAGCCAAACCCGCCCACTTTTCAGAGACTGCTTGAAAGAGGACCCTGAAGCACGGAAAGACGAAAGATACTGTACCTGTGCAGGTGTGGCATCTCTAGTCTTGGCTGTGGGAGCATGTATTATAGTTGTGGGCTTGGACAGCAGGGTGGAGGATGGATTGAAGAGCGTTATGGACAAGTGGTGCAGGGGGTCCCCATCCAGCCAATGCTGAAGCTGCTCCATGCACCTGTAGAGGAATGCAGAGGTGTGCGTTAGACCTGACACACAAATATTACTGGTTATTTTTGGCAAATAAGAAGTGCAACAAAATCAAGCAAATGCCACAAACCATTTTAGCAACTCTGCAGGTTCCACTACAAACTAAACACTACACCTGAGCCTGATCTGTATCAAAGTTCTTCCTTTTATAAGATTTATCAGTTGTCATTCATACACACATCCTGTCAAGTAGTAACTGATTTTTCAACTGATAAGAACAACTGGGTATTCTATAAACCCACATGCACCTACTCAACTGTCTAACAGTAGTGTTGCAGCAGTACCTTTTGCTTTCAGCCTTCTCCTCCTCCAAGCTCTGCAGGACTTTGTGGGCTAGGAGCTCCTGTGCTGTGGGAGTATATGCGATGTCCGGCAGGGGTGCCGGGGCTTTGACAGGCTCCGCCGGACTGTGGCACAGCCTCTTTCTGATGGACAGACCTCTGGGCGTGGCATAAGCAGCTGTACATGCCCTGAAGATGGAGTGTAACAATGCAGGAGAAAGACATGGACAAACATTAGGAAAAAGGAAACAATTTTAAATATAAAGTATTAGTGTGTCTTATTTCCAATGACTCACTGACATGTTATGAGACTTGAGGGTGAACACAACAGCTGCAACATGCAGCTTTATCGGACACCACAGCACATACTGGATGTACACACTGGTGTGTTTTGCCCTTTAAACCATCTACACTGCATTTTTAATAACTCAACTAGTAGTGAAACTGGCCATTAGCTGAGGTTAGCAACCACAGGATCAGGATAAGGATAATCATCTTTATTGGCCAAGTATGTTACACACACACACACACACACATGCACAAGGAATTTGTTTCCGGTACAGAACCGAGGAAACCATCTGCGGCACCAACTGAACCGATGGCTCTAAGGCTCTAACCATCGGGGGCAACGGGGAGGTTCAGTGTCTTGCCCAAGGACACTTCGACATGTGGACCGCAGGCACCGAGATTCGACCTTCAACCTTCCGGTTGGGAGACGACTGTTCTACCCACTGAACCACTGTCGCCTCCCCCCTAAGAGCTGTTGTCTGTGTAACAGATGTCAGTCACTCAACTAAATCTCATCAAAATTAAAAATGTTGCAGCAGTAACATCAGCTGAGGATTTAAGAGTTCGATACGCTGACTCCTTGAAAGGGACAATCTGCATCCAGCAGCTAAAAGTGAATGTGAATCTCTAGAACACTGGCAAGACACTTCCTGGAGCATCCTACCGTTCCTTGTCCTGCTGCTTCTCCTTGTGTGTTTGTCTGATGGCCTGGGTCCATTCCTCAGGTGGCTGGAAGTCATTCAGCGACTCTGTGGTAAAGTACACCAAGATCTCCCCATCCTCTGTAACAGCATCTTTAACAACAAGACAAGCAAGCAAGAAAATAAACTAATAACATTATTAAATAAATAAAGGAAGATACACATCATCAGTAGGTACATGTGTTGGTTGGTTGGAAAAATAACTTTCAACAAGAATGGCCTCACCTTCACAAGGAGGAGGCCCAGGTATCCACCAGTCTTTCAACTTGTGGTCTATGCAAATCACCAGCACGTCGTCCCAGGGGATCTGACTGTAGGCCGGACACACACACTCACCTCCACTGCAGCAACATCCCATGGTTACCTTGGATCTAGGGGCACGGTTATGGAGACTGTTGAGCCTGACCCTTTCCAGAAGGTTTTCCAGTTGTGACATTAAGAGGGGCTGACTGCGGTGGGATACTGGGATCTGAGCAGCGTAGCGAGAGATGGAGGAGCACAGCTCAGGCCAAGTGTCTAAAGAGAGAGAGATAATAAAGGAGGACAGACATGAAAATATGATAAAGGGATTATTGGTAAATTTTTCTACTCAGGATAGTACACAGGAACAGAACTACTAATACAAACTCCATTATAACACACTGTTTATACTCGCCACCCACGCCAAGGCATGCGCCAAAAATGACGTCACAACTGCTGGTGCATGGTGTGCATTGGTATCGTTTCATACCTCTCAGTTTTCTTAACAGGGTGCATGCCAAACAAGAAACAGATGAACTGGGCGCACGAGTGTGTGAGCAGGTTCATCTCTGCAGACATTCAACACGACCATATACAGTCATTTATGGCTTGGCGTGCTGGCTAGGTAGAAAGCTAAAGCACGTTGTCTACCACACAAGCATTCATTCAACTGTTCTGTCAGTTCAATATCTGCTGCCTAGCTAGCCAGCTGGACAGTTTGCTACAGAATGGATTTCCTGTAGATTTCTTCTTCTACTATTCTAGCAATGTATATTGTGTTTTTCTCAACAGTGACACCTATCATTTAGGAGGAGACTGCAGCGAATCATGTGTGCCTCAAGCACAAGTATAAACAGTTCTGGATCTGTGTTGACGTCACAGCTGGCGCACGCCATGGCCAATGTGTCGAGCATAACCACACTTTAACACTGTAGCCTTCCTGCATAGAAACATGACATTCTAAAGTTGACTCAGCCTCTGACCAGTGTTAGACAGCTGCTCCCACTGTGGCAGCTGCAGGCTGAGAATGGCTTTGTGAAGCCAGGCCAGGTGCTGAGCAGAGTTCCAGCCCAGATGAGGAACAAAGTCACGGGTATCAGGCAGGCAGAACTCGCTTGGTGGCCATGAGAATCTGCAGAGATCTTGGGATGAGACTTTGTCAGCAATGTGAGCCAGGACGGCGTTGTACAGCTGGATGACAGGCGCAGGGTCCTGGGAAGGAAGACATGCGGTGGCCCGCTCCTGGCGGTGGGAGTAAACTCTGGGACTGAAGTCGCGGCTCAAACTAGACTCTACCAGCTGCACCAAGGTCTGGCAGATGAGTGGGAAGTGTGGTGGAGCACGGGCCAATAGCCAACGCATGGCCTGGATGAGCTAGAGGCACACATCAAGACAGAGGGGAGAAAAGATTGATGGGCCATAAAAATGTGAAAGAAATATTTCAGACCTACAGTATCAATCTGTATCAGTGATTCTGAACCTTTATGAGCCTTCACAGGTTGCACACATCTATAAACTGTGAGCAGTGAGTGCAAAGAGTAATGTTCCTCTTAAAACTTAAGATAATTTCATTTGAAAAAAAATGGAAGGGGAAAACAATACAACATTTGACAAGTAAAAAACCAAAGTTCATATAAAAAAAAGTCACATAAACAAAAACTTTTGTAGAAAATGTTCCTAGTGCAGTAAATCTCCAAGCCTCAGGTAGGCCACCTCAGAAGATGGTTGTGATCTGAATAATAACTTGTCAGATTGTAACAGTGTGTTTCAAAGTTAGCCTCTGTAAGAAAGAAACTGTCTCTCTCTTTTCAGCAGCTCATCTTACAATCACAACAACAAGGCAAAGATGAAAAGGAAGGAGAAGAAAAGGTGGGACTGTGATCTCGCACTGTCACACTGTGTTCACTTGGTCATTTCAAATATCAATTAGACCTGCAGTATTTTATTCTACAACATCACTGTTTCTGGGCCCCGTGGGATATTAAACACACCTAAGTTGTTTTTCTGTGGTGTTGGTTTCGAAGCATGTGTATGTGCAGTACCTGTTTGGATCCCTGGAGGTCACTAGTTGTCTCTGGTATGAAGAAGAATGTGTACTCTGATATCAGGCCTTCCTGGACCAGTGTGTGCAGCATCAGGGCTGAGGGGCAATGCACCATGAGAGAAACCGTTTAGGGTTACTTCATTTTACGCACATGGATTCAGCTACTGTCCATGAATACTACCTGATAAAAAGTGAAACTTCCAAAACCTGCTTTTTGGAATGCCTATTTCAACATCCCAGTGTGCTGAAACTAGCAAGCAGTATTTTCATCTCTGACTGTATCAACTACAAACCTATTTCTGTCATCATTACTATTATTAATTACCATCTTCAAGTTCCTGTGTTTCACCAGTAACACTGTCAGGTCCTGGCACCAGTATGACCAGAGGCAGTGGGCAGTGCCAGGTGCTGGCTTGTTGTAGCTGCTTGAGCTGAAGAAGGGCCGACAGCAGAGGTACATCCTGCTCATTACGGCCAGGCTCGATGATGGACAAAGCAGGGAGCAGCATGACCAGAGCTCCTGTTCCCTGGAGCTCATAGCACTCCTCAATTTTGGACAGGCTGTCTTCAGTCAGTGGACCTCGGGACGCCTAGGAGATGACATCAAGGACACCCCATGTTACACAGAGCCAAGGCAAGAGGAATCATTTTTATCTACCTAAATAACAACATATACCAATACGAGTTGTTAATAGGTTAAAAGATAAGGTGAATCGGATATGGTGTCAGATAGCACTGAACCACAACTACACAAAGAGCAAAGACTTCTGGTCTTTAAAACTCACTTATTAGCATTTCAGAATGCTAAACCTGACTTTATTATTTATGTCAAGGTCTCCTCAAGGGCTCCTGGGGAACTGGTCAACCACGTCTGTTAAAATACTGTCCATTACCTAGACTTTCTTCAAGCAGCACACAATATAAAAATAATTAATGGTAACATTAGGCAAAAATACAATAAAATATGATAAAAAATATGGATAAATGAAAATAAATTTGTATTTAAATAGTACTATTACTGTGTTTATAATGAGTGAAGCATGAATCACCTTTTCATGTAGATCAGTGACCTACCATGTCTGGTCTGGTGCACCATGAGAAACTAGCTAAAGAATTAGCTTTGAGCTTTAAACTAAACTTAAATTTCAGTAAAGATAATTGTACAGATTCTCATACAACTGTCACGTGTCCCACGCATTTTAATGTTTGCAGTAGAAAACATGTAATAGTCATTTTTATCCTTTACGTGTATTATTTCAATCTTATTCTAAATATTTTTCCTTATTGCACACTAGCCTTTTAGCTCAACCTCAGCCTCATAGCATTTCACTACACATACTGAGATTGGAAACTAAGTCATCGTTTTATTTCTATCATTTAACCTCGATGAGCCCTGTTGAACACACAGTCTCAGGAACATCCAGATTTACAGCTCTGTACATTATACTCATAAGCTGCAGTGTGATCTAACCTTGACGCTGATGTGGACTTTGTGAGTGCGTTGTCCATTCTCATGCAGTGTGTTGGTGACACAGAGGGAGTGCAGTGTGCCGTCCCGCTGCTCCTCGCTCACCTCTGACGTCTTGTTATCACCCAGCTTCACCTCCAGCCAGTCTGACAGGATCCTAATACAAAAGACAAGTGAGGACAAACTCAGTGAAAGGTTCAGTGACCACTGGAGACCGGGTGCAAGTACCAGGAATGAATCCAATTCAGCGTCAAAGGTAATCAAACATCTGCCTGTCACTGTGTCGACCTTGTGTCACATTGCACTGCAGCTACTCACCTGTCTGCCAGACTGGCTACACTCTCGTGGTCGCTGGGTAAGAGGAGAACAGCTTTCCAGAAGATTCTGTCAGGTGGGTTGGGGATATTTTCTGCCACCAGTGCTGGCAGGTCTAGAGGCGCCCACACCACTTCACTGAGCGCAACATCAGATAGAGGTCAAAATGCTGTTTTGTATCGCAGATTTAATTAATATGATGATTTTCTCAAGACTTACTCAAGCAGCTGCTGGTAGTAGTAGTGGACTCTCATCTGGTGGATTGCTTCCCGTCTCATTTTTAATAACCTTAACAAGATATAAAACACCTTACAACACCCAACAATATATACTTACTGAAGCAGTGACATCATTTATTTTAAGGCGGACAAAGACAGTGGCCCAACAACAGTGAGGGAGCAATTAATAGCATGCTGCAAAAAGCTAACCAACCAATCATAAATTATAAAACAAAAGTATGGCCATTTGTCATCAAACCTCCTGTGTTGTTTAAAGACCTATGCAGAGGACAAGACGAGAGAGAGATGAACATACCTAGAACTAGACAGGGCCAGAGTGCCTGCGTTTCCCAGGTTGACCAGACCGCGGGCCAGATCTGCTATGGTGGGCTGTGCAGGAGCACTGGGAGCCAGAGCCTTGAGTTTGAAGGAAGGGTCAACACAACAAGGAGCTGCAGGGAAACCTCTCATCTGTCTCTTCAACTGCCGACGAACTGCTACCACATCCCGCCACCTAGTGGTACAGGCAACATGAGACTAGGTAAATTGTAAAAGGATGTGTAAATGACTATGGTGAAGAAACCTTGGGGTTTCATTCTTTGTGTTAGATGATTATTTCACTCGCTTTCCATTCATTTCACCTTTTAATGTACTTGTGGATACACTGCAACTCAGCATCAAGGATTTCTTCAACCAACCGGGCAATGTCTGTATCCAAAGTGTCCTCAACTAGACTGGTGCAAACCTGTTCTGTGCATTTAGCCACACGCTCAGCTTTCTCATTCACCGCCTGCCTGAAAAAGTAAACAGATTAAATAAATAAATAGATACACTTTAAATTCAGTGAAAACAGGTCAAAGCTTCCCTGTTTTCTAGTATCTTATTATCCTTATAAGGAGTTGGCTATTTTACATATGCATCTTCATTTTTTACAAATAGGTCTGTTAATTTATTGATTAGCTTTGAGTGCTTTTTCAGGGTCATGCAGTTACTACCTACTGTACTATAGTGCCACAGTAGTCCACACAAAATGTTCAAATAGTGACATCAGACCAGCTCGAATCTGGATGAGTTTTAAATCTTACTGGATCTCAGAGGTGGCGGCCTCCTTGATGGTCTCATCTAAAACTTCAAGGACGATCTCCTTGCAGAGGGAGAAGCTGAACTGAGCCAGGAAAGCCTCGTGCTCCTGTCTCCTCCTGGACGGAAAAGGAGGGCGGGTGCATTGTGACAAACATGGCTACTTTGATAATGGCTTTCAATACAGAAGTTGCCGTGATGATGGTGACTGGTCATAATTGTTCATCTTAAAATCATACAGAAGTTATTGCATGTTATACTGTACAGTATTAGATCTGTTATAAAGGACTTGATAAGATGCTGTGAAATTCCAGAGCTGTTTCTGTGAGAAAACAAAATGGCTGTGCAAACCTGCATATGACAACCTGGATGGCATGCTTTCCTAAATTAACAATGATTATTTTGTGCCTTGTTTGTTGGGTTGGAGTAGCACAAGCCTGCCCTTTCCTAATGAGGCCAAGGCCAGTGATACAGCACAGTGTGCTACGCTCAGCACGTTGCCATTAACTATCAGCAGACCAACCTGGTTTCTTCAAGCTTGCGTTTCTCTTCAGCTACACGCTCCTGTTCCATCTCGATCTCATCGGAGGACACCTCCTGCAGCATCTGCGCCAACACTTCGCTCACCAGTGACTCCACCTGCATGCTGCTCTCACTGCAGAACCACAGCAAGTCAAGTCATCTCAGTGAAAACAGTCAGCCACTGGCTGTACACACTAATCTAATGACATGATGATAAACGTAAAGACAGCATGATTTAAACTGACCGTGCACAAGAAAAGTTAGTTGGATGGATGGATGATTTGAACTTACACGAGAGCTGTTGTGATGTAAGTGGTACCAACACCAGCTACCTCCCTCACTGCTGCTTCAACCACCTCTTCAATCATACAGTCGAGCTCAGCCACAATGTCCTACAGTATGGAATGCAAACAGCACAGTTAGTGTCAAACCAGCACAGCCAGGTCAGTGTTGCTTCTTGTATCATCTACTGTAACCAAATACAACAGATGGTTCATTTCTTTGTTGTTTAATTTGATCATTCTCTTCATAAATGAAAAATTTCCAAATACTTAATGCCCATTACAACTTCTACTTCTAAGTCCAAAGTGCCACCTTCAGACTGTTGGATTTGTCTGGCCCACAGTCCAAAGCCCCAAATTAGCCATTCTGATATCAAAATGTCAAATTATCCATTTTGATCATTGAGACGAAGGTGAAACCAAGGCATGTTCGCACTTTTTAGGGCAGAAAAATGTGAGTCAAATGATTATTATAATTATACTTTGACTGGGGATCCCACTGTCAAGTTCTTCAAGTTCACAGATGACAACAGTCATTGGTCTCATCATGATGATGAGTCAGCCTACAGACGGGAGGTTGAACAGCAGGCCCTGTGCTGCGCTCGTAACAACCATACCCCCTAGGTTTTCAGAAAGACTGCTTTTCAGTGTTTTGTGATTGTTGCATTAATGTGTGAGCAAAACTATGCTGGTCTGTAAAGTAACTCCAACTGTCAGAAAAATGCACTGTAGTAAAAAGTGCTGTGCTTCCCTTTGAAATCCAGTAGTAAAAGAGTGAAACTGGCTTAAAAGCAAAATCCTCATGTTCAAGTACCTCATGTACCTAGTAACTGTACATGAGGTACTTGACATCACCAGAAAGGAATGCAGCGGCCACACTACACTGCTATGGCTACAAAATCATCATGCACTAGAGAAAAGCAGAGAAAATATTTTAGGGAGACAGAATTAGTTCTTGTGATGTGATCTGAGATAAAGAGCTGAGGGATCTTCCCCACCTCATCAATGTACACCTGCTGAGGTCTGGGTGGAGGTGATGGTGGCTTGACAGGCTGAGGTTGAGATATCCGCTGAAAAAGCTGCTGGGCGTCTGCTGGGAAGGCTGAGCCTTGAGGTGATGCGCTCAGATCTCCTGTCTCATCTGTAACAGCTGGAGACAGCCCAGTGGCAGTGGAAGTGTCTTGAAGTTTGACTGGCAGCTCAACACTGAATGGTGCTTTAATCTCCAGCTTGGCAGCAACAGCTGAGACAGTGAGAAGAAAAAAAAAGCTGGTACTAATGGGACTGAATCTCTGCCCTCTTTCAGATGTTAAAAGATTTTGTATGAATGCAATATGAGGTTTAAAACTGTATTTTACTTCAAGCTCTGCATAAAAATAATGGCTTTCAATTTTATATAAGTGAGTCAACACACCTAGTGCTAGCCTTAGCAGATGTACATACTGTAAAATAAAATTTAAAAAAAAAGAACTGTATTTGACAGGGTGAGGAAATGTATAATGGAACCAGTACATTTGAATGGGTTTGAAGTGGGCTCAGCCAGAGAGCCCTCTCCACGGTACTTGTTCTGGGAGTCGAAGCTGCAGGTAGGGGTGTGCTGGGGAGGATTAGGGAGGGGTCCTCCATTCACTACCTCTCCAAGCAGCACTGTTTTCTTAGCGAGGATGACCTCAGACTTCTTCTGGGACAGCGGCAGCTCTGGCTCCTGATAGGTTGACCGACTCAGCTCAACCATGCTGTGCAACAAAACAGCAAATATCATGTACTGTCTAATTAAAATATTTCTACAAATCCTCTATATGGCCCACTAGTAGATACTTACCCATCAATCACATTCAGGCCGTACTGCTGGATGAAGTCCGTTGCTTCTGCACGGTTGCGGAACATTAACATCCGAACTATATCCTCGAGGGGAAATGCAGTCGATCGTGGACCCACAGTGTGGGCCATGTTCAGGGTCTTCAAGGCCTTGGCTCTGACCTGCACATGCACAGTCAACAACACATGGTTGTTTCAATTTGCTCCATCATGCATGCAACATTTTCAAATATGACTGGTATCTGCTGCTTGAACACTGGCATTTACCCAGACTATGTATACCTATGGACATTTTACAATAACAGAGGAGACCCTTGTTGCACAAACCAGATAATCAGTTGTACCAATGCTGAAAATCCTCTTCTAACTTATAGCACTGTAACAATTAGTTGACTTCTTGATTTGTCCCTTAACAGAAAATGTAACTATTCTGATCTATCATTCATCTTATAATTCAGCTCCTCATATTTTATAGCCCAAGTGATTAATGGAGAAAATAATCTGCAGATTAAGGTTGTAACAGTATGAGATTTTAATGGTACGATAACGTACACAGTAGTACACAAATACTGTTATTGTTATCAGCTGCAATGACCCTCAAAAGAGGTTGAACAAATACTTTCTTTAATTGCAAGTGACTGTGACAGTTGGTTGAGCTGAAATCAGAAGCATAATTGGAGTTCGGTGATACCAGCCTAGCTTTTCTCTGCTGGATGTATATATGTGGTATCCATCTAAAAAGCAGTCAGGGAAGAAAGACGCACATGTAGTGCTTTTTTTTCCTTCAATAATAAGCAAATGTGTGTGGTTTGATAACCATCCATTTTCATACCATGGTATACTGTGAAACAACACTAGTGCAGATTAATTGATAATGACAATACCTGTTAGCTGCAGCCCAATTAATTCATTCCCTTTAATATGAATCTCATCTTCTGTGACCAGTATAGATTTAATATGGATAACTTAATAGAGTTTTGTTTGGTTTTACCCTGTCAGTGCTAATATAATACATTATTCAGAAACATAAATCAGTTCATAAGTTTCTCTGTCATTCATCAACAGAGGAACACGTTTTCTGACCTGACTGAAGTATCTGTGTAGGAGGCAGCTGGCAAGGTAGGAGGCTCCTTTCACCAGCTTGAAGAAGCGCACAAAGTTGTTGCTGTTGACTGCAGCAAATGCATGCACGGCAAACTTCACCTCAGGCGAGTTACGCACCTCATCACGGAACTGCTGCGCCTCACTGTATGAACATGGAGTGTGAGGAAGTCTTTCTTTAGTGCATGGACTGAGGTATGAGGTGCAGTGGATGCAACAAAACATGCCCTGAACTCCTAAGTCACAGCTGATGGGTCATGAAATCATTTTTCAAAGCTCATTTCTTAGAGGAAAAACAGGCGCATTACATCTATTTCAATGACACAAACATATTATGACCATATTTAAGCATTTGTGTACGTGTGCTTCGCTGGACTGACCGCAGGATGTCGCTGTCGTTTAGCTTCAGCAGCACACTATACTGGCGGAACTCTGCCTCCCGGGGGCAGTAGATTTGGCGCATACCCAGGTCCTGGTACATTTCTTTGAGACTCTGCAGGCACTTTGTCATGTTCTCATTGTTGATCTTGGCATCAAAAGATGACATAGGTTCTTCGCAGAGGTGATGGGCACAGTGCACATGGAAGCGTGTGCACTTCTCAATCAGCGACACCGTGTGTGGGCAGCAAAGGCGCTGCTGGGTGATGTCCTGTGTGTATGACAAAGGAAAGGATCATTCTACAATCCATGCGTATAAGCTGTAAGGTCATACCCTCTGCAAAATCACTGCTGGACCCAGAAAAGTGTTTGTGGGACAATGTGTGTGCGCTGTACTCAAAGTTCAGATAGTAAAGTGTAAAGACAAGTTAACAGATAGCTGTACACATCTGATGAATATATGGCAATATCAAACTATTCACTTAAACCAACACACTATTTTTTTTGTGTAGGTAAAATCTTTGCCTGATACCTGATACTACTCGATGCAGATGCAAAGCTTCAAGACAACCAAATCATGTTTTTTATACAATTACAGCCGATATTTGAATCTATTCTGAAGCAGGCCTTTACCTTACGGATGCCGCGGGTTCTGTTCCAGACAAAGTCATACCAGTCGCGGTAGTTGTCATGGCCCTGTTCCATGATCTGAGTCACCAGATAATCCATGGTCATGCTGAGTACAGGCAACGGGCGCAACTCGTGGGGCAGGGGCTCCTCCTGGTCGGCTGAGGAGCGACTGTACTCCTTGATGGCTGCTATGTGATCCACCTAGTTGTGGACAGGAAGGGGCAGTTTTTGTTTTCATTTCCCCACCCTTCTTTAATGAACCTACCAGCTTCCACATCTATATACATTCAATATACTCAGAAAACATACAATATACCTAGAATGAGATCTATGCAGGTGTACCACAGGTGCAGCTAGATAATAAAATAGGACACTTTGCTTGTTGCTTCTTTATTTTGCATTGCTAAGCTGAAGGAATGCAAGTGACATACACTGCACAAAACCTGTCCTGAAGAGACCAAAGATTATCAGAAAGGATGTAACATCTCACAGTACTGTCTCAGCTGAAAAAGCCTATATTCTTCACTCTAAATGCGAAACATAAGGATTAAGGACGTTACCATTTCAGTGTCTGGAATGACCTCAAATATGCTGAGCTGGTTCCGTGTCTCCCTCATGTACCTCTCCTTCTCTGGACACATGTCAGGACACGTCCCCACAAACACCTTAGACAGGTCCAGGTCTGTCCGCCTAGGCCGACCTGTGCAAACATATTAAGCACACTGTTCGAATGTCTCATGTTTTTTCCAGCCATATTAAAGGCTGCAACAGACTAATGTGAGAGGACGCTTCACCTTGGCGCAGGACCTTGTCTCTCTGCTCCAGGAGACGGTATTTTTCTTCAGCGGTCTCAGCCAGCTGGCCAATGAGATGGAGGAGGGAGGAGGGTACCTGCTGCTCTGAGCTCTGGGTTTCTGTGTTGCCTCCTCTCTGGGGTTCCCTGTCCAAGTCCAGAGACTTGACCAATGGTGCCTTCTTCACAGGAGAGCTGATGCATTAAAGTACACGAGTGAGGAAATCACAGAAATAAAGCAGCAGTTTTTCAACTATTTTTAGGATGACCACTGATCTAGACCCAGTCCATAAAGGCATTACAAATAAAGTTAAATCTGAACCAGCAGAATAACGACAAACATTTTAACACAGGTACAGTGTTACCTGTGGCTTAAGGCTGCCATGCTGCTGACTGCAGGAGCTCTGAGTGGGGGTCTCTTAAGAGGGGAGGAGGTGGCCTTTGACTCCGTCTCCCCTTGAGTTTCTCCTACTTCCCCCTCCTTTCCTGCTCTAGGTCTGCACCCTTTCTCCTCTGGACCTGAAAAAAAAAATTCATAATCAATTTATTAAGTTGCTGCAAGGTATTAAATATGAAATAAACAGTTCAGGACTGTTTACTAAAATGCAGAACAAAGTCCTGATTTCTAGTCACTTTTATAGGGTTATATGTCTAAGAAAACAGCCGCCCAGCAGAACCATACCTGCTGGGTGACACCAGATAGTTCTGTATTAATTAGCTTTTAAAGAACTGTTATATTTACTTTGCTTCTTTCTCTGCCAGAAAAGATTGAGATTTTGTCTGTGCAGGACTTTGCCTTTCTTCTTGGCCTTTGCTGCTGATGCCTGAAAGAAATAACAGCGACAGCAAAATAATGTTTTGATTTTAATGAAAAATAAACACTAACATCTTTGGCCTGTCTCACAAATCAGGATCAGTGGGTTAGCTAGCTAACTTATGTTTCAGTCTAACTAAAGACCACCATGTCACCAATAAACCAGTGATGAATCTTTAATCAGTGCTTGAATCTTGCTATGACACTGTTCTGCTAATCAACAGCTGAAAACTAAATGACATTATATGTAATGGTTCACATTTGCTGTTTCACATAAAGGGTTATAATAAAAGAAAACCACTTAAGGACCAAACTGGGAGAACAGCTGTTATTCACTACCACTTTTGAAGAGGTCATGAAACAACATGATAACTAGAGTATGGTGAATATGCTTTAATGAAGATCAGTTTAACTCACATGGTCACTGAAGTGTACTGTGGCCTGGCTCTTGGTAGGCCGACACACGACCCTAGTGACCTTCCCGAAACGAGCAAAGTGCTTCTCAAGTATCTCCTTTTTGTTGAGGTCTGCAAGCAAATCCTTGCAATGGATGGTGGTGCAGTCGGTAGGAGACAAGCCACTGAGGCTTTCCGAGCTCTCCCTGCACACGCCACGTTTCACACGGGCTGCAGTTTTTAGCTTTGGGTCTGAGGCTTTTGTTGAATCTAGATAATATTAATGGGTAACAGACAACAGGATGAGTATTCTGTAATAAAGAACAATGGTAAATAAGCAAAACAGATCTCGGTTGATATGTATCAAGATGGAAAGGGTTAGAAAATAGTCTCAAAGAATTTAGCCAACAGTTAGACATAGTCCATGGAGGGACAGCACAGAGAAAGCTGCTGCTATCCAATAACAACTTGACACTACTGGGAAAATGTTTTGAGGAGGGATAAAACTAAGGTTGAATTATTTGGGAAGAACATGCAGCATTATGTTTGGTGCAAAAAGAATGCAGTACACCAAGATGAAAACATCATTCCAAAGATGAAGTACAGTGGAGGGGGGCATCATGATTCGAGGGGAAAATTAATCCCCAGGTTTATCAAGGTATTTCATAGGATAATGACAGCGTGGCTGTCCATCAGCTGAAGCTCAAAAATGTAGATGAAATGAAAAGCAAATCCGACAATTTATTCAGACAAGCAGTGTCTGGTAAAGTGACTCCCTGTCAATTAAGAATTCACGGTGCAGCATTTGCTTCATGATACAAATGGGCTTCAGAAATGCACAACAACACATCCTGATGCAAAAGCAGATAAAATACATGGTGTGTGCGATTTGTATATCTCACCCGACGACTCAGCTTTTTCCAACACTTCCCTGGTGAGTGTTTGTACCATAGATGGAGTAGCAGTCACACTGTCACTCTCAGCTTGAACATCATTCCTCTCTGTTTCCTCCCAGTTTGATGCCAGCTGCTGAATCCCCTTGGTGGCCTCGCGCCTCACTGGGTTAGCGTTTTCTCTGCGAAGACCACTCAGTGCCCTACCGAACAGGCCTGCTGGTGGGCCGCGGGACCTGGTCAGTGGCCTCTTAGGAGGGTGCCTCGGTGAATCTGCTTCTGCTGGAACATCCTGCCCAGCTGCAGGACTCTCTGTATCACTGCTGGGGGCTGCTGGATCATCCTTGCGCTTGGTGCCTTTACTAAATCGTGCAAATATATTTGTATCCCCTGATGCCTCAAGATCGCTCCCTTTCTCATCTGTGCTAGCCTCTGCTTTAATTTTGTTGTCATCAAAAGCTGAGGGTTGCCCAAAATTGGTTCCTCCAAAAAAGGGTTTTGTCTGCGGCTGGAGGGCTTTGGTTGTAAAGCTGAAAGATGATGGAGTGGTGGGCTGGGTGGTGGATGCCTTAGAGCTGGAGCTTGAAAGGGCAGCTGGCTGGGAAAAGGTGAACTGCAGCGTGTTTGTTGGAATGTTACTATTGCTAGTTGTTAGCTGGCTGTTCTGAGCAGGGATAGATGGGGCTGCAGCCGGCTGTGAAAAGCTGAAGCCCGGCAGCCCAGGCTTGGTACTCAACAGAGAGAAACCAGTGGTGGTGGTGGTGGTGGTGCTGCTACTCATGGTGCTGGAGCTTGTCTGGGACCCACTGTTGCTAAATGGTGAGCTGGACAGTGAAGTAGTTTGTGGGTTAGCAGGTTCAGGGCTGGCACTGAAGATGGGTTTGAAAAGTACCTCATTTGCTGGCTTGAAACTGAATTCAGATGATCCAAAGGCCCTGCTCTGGGTCACACTCTGACCGGTGCCAAATACACCAGTGGTGACAATGGTAGATGATTGCTGTCCAAATGCAGGCTGTCCTCCAAATCTCAGTGGCTGAGGCTGCCCTAAGGCAGTAGTAGAGCCAGAAATCATTTGGGAGTTTCCAAACCCAGAGGACTGTTGGCCATATCTTGGTGGTGGTTGGCCAAATCCGGGTGCCTGCCCAAATGCAGATGTCTGTCTGAAAGCGGGTGCGCGCCCAAAGACTGAACTCTGGTTTGGTCCAGTGGTCTGTCCAAAGGCTGATGCTGTGCTACCACCAAAGCCTGAGCTACTGATTCCTAATGAAGGCTGTCCAAACGCTGGAGGCTGGCTTATTGTAGGCAGCGTTTGAGGTTGTGCAGGTTGCTGTCCGAAGGCTGGGGCTTGTCCAAAGATAGTATTTCCATGAGGTGAGGGCTGATTTAAGACAGATGGTTGTGCAAATGCTGATTGTTGAAAGAATCCCATAGTTTGGGGCTGATTGCTGGAACTTTGCTGTCCAAATGACTGAAACAAACTAGTCTTCATGGTGCTGCTTGGTGTTTGGAAGGCTCCACCTTGCGGACTGCCAAAAGGATTTGATGGATTCATGGCGCAGATATGAACGGGCTCTTAGCATACTCCGTTGTTTGTGTTTCTCATCCAGGCATTCAAGCAGCAAAGATCTGTAACACGTTTTTCAGTGACACCCTATCACGTTAAAAAAACAACAAAACATTACAAGGACAGGAACATAAAATTAAAATGCATGGCTAGGCCGCTAGCATAAGCTAACACCACAAATATTGTTAACATTAGCTTAGAAACGATTGTCTTATTTCTCTTGAACTCATAAAACTGAATATACAACAATTCACAGAACTACACCAAACCTATACAATCCGGATACGATAAAATCTCACTTTTCTCACCTTTTACGTTTGGTGTTTACTTTTTGTTTAACTACAAATGCATCTTCCGACATCCGGTTTCGTTCCGTCCAATTCTTTGGTCCTCGTTCAATGAGAACATGCGTTCCGTAATTGCCAACGTCGCGTCCGTTGCTGGAAGAGGGTTCGAATCGTTAAGAAACCCCTTTCCACAAATAACAAGAAAATATTTAGCTGCTCTCAACAATACTGTCTAATCTACACAAAACAGAGAAAGCTTAGATAGTCGGTTAGGGGGAACTGCCGGGACGTATCACCTTGAATTCGGTCGCGGCTAACGATACTTCCATACGGCTAACGTAAAGCTGTTCAAACCCTCTCATAAATTGGTCGCCACAGCATTTGTCTATATGCTTATCGTTGGAGGTGGGTTAATGTAAACGGAAACTCGTATCTCATGCATTTTTAATATCAATTTTTCTTTTTACTTTGATTTTTAAAATGGGGGTAGTACTGCGGAATCTCCAAAAGGTGGTGCCTGTTCGTCGCGCCAGGCTGCGCAAGGATGTTGACACTCTGAGGCACATACTGGGCATCCAGAAATTTGATCTTGGCATCATTTGCGTGGATAACCACAGGATTCAACAAATCAATAACATCTACAGAAAGAAAAATACACCTACTGATGTCCTGTCATTTCCATTCTACGAGGTAGGTTTAATGCCTGCAAACCAAAATAAACTTGTTAATTCATTGACATATACACATATTTCTGTAACTTTCCCACTGACATGAAGCTCTTTGTGTTCAGGACATAAGACCCGGTAAGCTGCCCTGCCCCCTTCACAGAGATGAGCTGAACCTTGGGGACATTTTCTTGGGGGTCCAGTTTGTGATGGAACAATGTCAGGAGGAATCCCTCGATCTGCACGGTGCTCTTACTGTGAGTAACTGCATGATATATTTCATTTTTCTAGAAAAAAAACTGGCTGAAGATAAAATCAATGTATTTAACTGTAATTAGGATCTTAAACCGACTAACATCATTCTATGTCTGTAGTAATCTAGTCTGTTAATTGTTATAAAATAAAGTTTTGTTCATCCTGTTTTAGGCAGTCACTGCACATGGTATCTGTCACCTGTTGGGCTACAGGCATGAGACAGAGGAAGAGTGGGCTGAGGTTTGTATGGAGTGCACATGTTGAAATACTCTTAATGTGAAAAGCGCATATAACAGATTAAAAGGGACTGTACTACCAAAACCTATGTTCTCACATTACCTGCTCAGATGCTGCGTATCCATGCAAATAGCCTTGGTTTTATGTGGATTCAAGTGGTGCTGATCAAGTCTTCTCTCATCATATATGTTCAGGTTTTGATGTGCATCAGCTCCAACACAAAGCGAATGGCATTTTGTTTCCCTGAGCACGGAAAATGTCACTTGATGAGCCACAGAAGTTGTTTTCCCAGTAAATAGTTCCAAAGAAACAGTTAATATCAAAGATCTGTTGGTTATTCACAGCTGAAATAGAGATGCTGCTCTCGGACTTTTCTTAAATGCTGAGACCAAAAACAAAATATCAAAATTTTTGTGTTGTTGAGGCAGAGGCATACATTTCCAGAGCTCATCCAAAACTGCATGGCTAGACAATCACTAGAGGTCACCTTATCACCACAAATTGAAATCTTTATGTGCCGTTTTGTCACACACTGTAAACCAGCAGGACAGCGGTTGGACAATAGTTTAAGCATTTTAATTTGCTTGCAGATGCTGCAGAGGGAAAGCTACATTCTAAGTGAGTACAACAAACTCACAGGAAAACATCTCGAGCCACTGATGAAGAAATGCGGTCAAGACAGGTGACACTGATCATCTCTGGTTCTCTTTACAGCTCAGCACTATGGTGCTTGTTACGTGCCTGTACAATGCCCTGTAACCAGATGGACTCAGTGTCCCACGATGATTCAGAAACAAATGTTATGTTCACAGTTAATATTTGCTGCCGTTTACTGAAGGACTTAAGACATGCACCTGATTCTGTGGACATCCTTCTGAACACTGCCTGTGAGTGTTAAGAACCAAAAAGTCTGTGCACTTTCACCTCAGTATTTTATTAAAATCTGCTTTAGGAAGAGTCAGTTGTGTATGAAGGGTAGAAAAAGCAGTCCATTCTTGCTTCACAAATACATTTTACCCTCTTTACACTGCATTTGGGACAAGATGCTCAGGAAGGTGCCATGTTTTAAAAAAGCCAAAGCAGACAAAAGGAACCCATTTATGAACAACCTGTCTGCTCTCTTAACTGGGTATATGATCATGGTGCAAGAATAAAGAATACTGCACTTCCAGGAAGTCAGCTAATGATAGTCAGCTATAGAAGACTCTGTATCAGTGTCACAGTTGATCCCCACAGATTTTTTAAACTCATGTTTTATAACACTATTATCTAGATTTTCTTCTGCTTTTGGGGGAAGTTCAAATAATGGTGTGGTCTGAATATGTCCAGCAGACACTGTTTACCGTTTACTGTTGCACTTTAGTTGTGATATACATATGTCATTTCACTTTTTAAAGTGGTAAAAAAAAAAAAAAAAAGGCAGTCCAACCAGGGTGTTGAAACCAGCACAGAAATACCAAAATCTCATTTGTGCCATCTATATTCATTCATATCTGATAGGAACTAGTTGAACAAGGTGAGCTAAGGTCTAAGGTGTTTAGCATGGTATACTGGCCTTAAAGGTGATGAAATAAACATACATTATATTATGCTACAAGTAGCTTCCCTGGTGTTCTAGTATTAAATAACATCTAACTGCCATGCCATTTCGATGGGTTAATTAAGATGCATCAGCTCTGTTGTAATAAATAGAAAAATCTGTTGGCTGCTTGTAGACAAAAATCTGACTTGCACATTGTTTAGGTTTAACAAACGTATTCAAAATAATAAGGTTGTGCAACTTTTAAAGTAAAGCTTGTGTACACATTTATAAAAGTTTTCTTGGGAGGCACAAGGTCAAAACCCCAAAAGAATCAAGTGGGCTTCACTGGAAAAAGCTCAGTAAAACAGGCCCTGTTACTACTGAGCTTATTTCTTTTTAAATCTATAAAATATGGAGACAGCCACACACGCACACACACACACACACACACATTAGCTTTTAAGTCAAGCACAAAAAGCAACTATGAAAACATCCACACTCTGTGACAGACAGCTTGAATTGGCCAGTTTGTGCCAGAACATAAATATTGCACCAAATGTACCTGCTAAATGCAACAACCCTCTAACTCTATAATAGCTTATACTCCAACATAGAATATATCTTTAATGTATATAGGAAATAAAGGGTCTGCAAAACATATAATCCATGAAGCACCAGTAGCATCTGGTGTTTGATAGTTGCATCTAAGTCAAATTCTGAATGAACAGCAATAAAGTTTAAAGGTGTATCAAGAAACAAAGGGGAAAAACCCTATACAAAACAGTTGTCTGATAAAAGCAAAGGAAAACTCCAGCCCCAAAACCACGGAGGCAAGATTTGATCCATTGAACATTTTTATCCACATTTCCGGTACCTTAAAGAGTCAGTTTAGCACCCACATTGAAATGTACTGGTGCTAACTGAAACTGGCATTAACTTATTAGTAGAGGAGATGAAATGTTGAAGACGACAAAGGAAGAGCTATCAGTAGTACTCAAAGGGGCTGCAGGACGTTCCTTCCTGCCTCTGAAGTGCTGCTGACTCCAGCTCTCTCCATCTCAGACAGCTGTTCAAACACATCCCTGAGGACACAAAGTCAGCATGTGAAAAAGCATCTTATAGCCATGAACACACCAACATACACTACTAGAAAACTTTCAATTCACTAAAATTACAACAGTTTTTAGTATTCCCCACTTTCAAGTGGTCAAAAATAACTTGGTGTGGCTTAAAGCATCCTTTAACATACACTGACATGGAAAACAAAAAGAGGCCACTCAGTTTCATTATGGCTATAAATGCTACACAGACATCTGCTTATTTTGCCAACTCACTTATGCATGTAGAAGAAGATGTATCCACTGCGGTCACGGTCTCGCTGGACAGCTGCTTCCTGTGTGCGTGAGACGTCCAGGTCATTGTAGGTCAGCCACGACTGCTTCTTCATGTCATACACGTCACTGATGTAGTGGCCTGGCGTGGAAAACAAAGTTAGCACGTGGGCAGGCAATGATGTGCCAAAATATGTCTGACATGGGCACGGCGTCATTCCAAACACTACCACAGGTGAGTGCACTAGACCAAACATTAAAATCAATTCAGTACAGTCCTTTAGATTTTTTCAGGCCCCAATCACACCAAATAGGTTTGGCACTGTCCATTGTTTACCTCTCATCTAAGCAGGCCAAGAGTGGTACTTCTGCCTTCGTAACACAAAGGCACACACAACCCAGTGCTGTGCATGTGAGATTTCTGAGCACACTCGTTAATTTTCACACTTTGGAGCATAGTGTGCAAATCAGTAAAACCCTGACATGTAGTCTTCTGTTAAAAACAAAACTATCTTCTCATCCCGCCATGTCACATGACTGGAAAAGCTTGCAAACACTTAAGTCTGACACCTCTAATGGTTTTGAATTACTTTTTGCAAACAAGTAACTGTAAAACAAGTCCTGTGCAGCAGTTGGCATAAATGTTGATGTGCATTAGGATGAAGGCACAGACACACATGCTCACCAGAAGAAGAGCTGCTCCCAATGTGACTGACAACACTGATGAGTCGGAAAGAGTTGGGTAACTCTCCACTCTGTGGATTAGATGGTTTATAAGCAGGTTACTGAGTGAAGGCAGTTTGGTGTTTCCAATGTGTACTGTGTATTATCAGTACAACTACAAGAATGTGGAGAGTTATTTAATTTTCATCAGGAAGATGATTCTAGATAGATATGTTGCAGCAGGATGTAAAGTACCTCAGCATTCCGCTTCAGGTTTTCTGCCTCTGCTTCAGTGTACTCCATATCCAGCACATCCTCGTTGCCAGAATCATCATCTGAGCACAGTAGCTCAGGTAGACAGTTGTTGAACTCTGCTGGGTGACATGGGGTTATTAATACTGGTCTAACAGTGGGGAGGAGGTACAGCAGGTCTTCCCCTGAATTGCAGGGTTTGCTGTTCGATCCCCAGCTTCTCCGGTCCATATGTTGAAGTGTCTTTGGGCAAGACAGTGAACCTCTGGTTGCCCCTGCTGGCCTTGTATGGCAGCACTGCTGACATTGTGTGTGTGTGTGTGTGTGTGGAGGGGGTCCCTTCGTCACCCAAAGTTTGATGATCGACATGCAGAGCAAACAACTGTTCCTATCAAAAACAACTCACAGCATGACTGGGTAAACTTATGATAATAGTGCATGTGAGCTGCGAAGTTATTTGACAAGTGTTGAAAAGGTGTCTCTGACCACGGATGCATGGATGGTGCCTACAACTGAATCGTATACATCAAATAATTGTAGAACAGTCTCTGCTTGAAATGCCCATCCCTAGTACTATCAAGCGCTTTGAGTGCTATGGTTAAAAAAAGAAAAGTACTAGATAGGTGCAATTCTGCACTGCATGTTTGAAAGAATAAATCAATCAAATCAAATCAATTCATTTTTAACAGTTTCACAGCCCTGAGAGTCTGATTACACAGACTTGTTCTTTTCTCTTGGCACTAAATTGAGAACATGTCTGATAAATAAATAAACATGATACATTTATACATGATAGTATTTAGTTGACAGTTTTTAGTTTCAGTCTACAGTTGTTTTGTTTTGGATATTGTATTGTTGCCCTGGGTCTAATTAGAAATTACATTCTGTTTCCCTTGATGCTACATACAATGCATGTGTGTGGAACTGACAGTAAACCTCAACCTGGGTCTCAATGACCAGTTGCTCAACATGTGTCAGTTTGGTCCATACCTTGCAGGCTGAGCTCAGTGGCCCTCTTCAGATCATCATCCTCTCTCATCTCTTGAGCTTCCTGTATGAGGTGAAGTGGGGGACAAGGTATTACATCGCTGAGACTTGGTGGAAGAAATTTCAACAACACATTTTCACTCAGTTTATATCTCTTGGTATTGGATGTGTGTACTTGGTGAGCTTCTGTCAGGTCTATTATTGTTTTTGAAGCTAATTTGGAACCACTATACTGTAACACCAGCTCAGGCTAGTTGGACAGCAATATTTCTTAGAACTGCAGAAAAAGAAACATTTGATTCCGTTACAAATTGTAGTTTCTTTAGTTGGCGATCATCCAGATTAATATATTAGTCTACATATCTGACTCAGGTATTCGTTGCATTGGTATTTCAGTGCTGTGATATAGTATGATCTGTTTCTATAAAAAAAACCTGCAGATACCACATGGCTTCTGATCTTATAATCTTACATGCTCCTGAAGGCTCTGGGCCAGGGCCTGCTGCAGCTCCTGTTCTTCCCTCTCCTGATCCAGATTGTACTGCTGA